TTTATTTAAAGTTCGTACGATTTTCATTAGTGATTACAGTGACTTTATAATTTTAATATAATTAAAATAATTATGTAATTTTATTATTATTTTATTTATTTTCTTATTAAAATCATCTTAATATAATTAATATAATTAGGCGGTATTACATTTACATAATATTTGTTTAAATAAAGAGATCTATTTAAAATTTTTAAAAACAAATACTTGTATAATATCAGAAATTGTAGAGCAAAAAATTAAAAAATCAATAACTTTGATCGATTTCGTTAAAATTGAAGTTCCCAGTTAACAAAAATCAAAATATGCTGAAGTTATAATATGGCAAAGTAAATGTTAAAACTCCGCTTGGTACGATTGCACAGATAATTTGTAAATAAGAATTTATAGACGGTATCAACGTGGGACACTGAAATAAAAAAATTTTTCGAAATGTTGCAGCCGCTTCGCGAAAATCTGCAATACGCGGATCGCGTTCTCTCGCGTTCTCTAGAAAGTTCGGATCAAGCGGAGCAGTTTTTTGGAGACCTTCGCGCAGCATCGCGTGGAACGTGTCACACATTATAACGTTCGACATATCGAGCGCAAAGAGCGATCGATAACTTTTTCACTGTGGATCACGTTGAATTACGCTTAGCAACTGCAGGCAAGTACATATTGCGAGGAATTTCAGATACTGTTAGAGAGGATGTGGTAACAGCACGCGAAAGAAACACGCGTTTCACGCATGGCATGTGTCTTGGCAAATTTTAGCATACTTATCAGTGATTTGGACAAGCAAAGGATCATTCGTGATTCCGGTAACGACAATTTTTATTTATAGACGCACGCGAGAACTTTCTTATTATTTATTCCTTCTCCATTTGCCAGTTTTTAAGATGAAGTAAAAATACTTTTTCTAATTTTGCCAATACTTGGAATGACAAAAGAGAAACAAAAATCTCTCGTATTACAATAATAATAAAAATAATAATAATAATAATTTTTAATTCTTCTAGAAACGAGTAAAAGTTTCCCAGACACATCAAATTTTGAAAAAAAAAGTTAACAGAAATGTGTTGCTTTTAAAAGCATCGCAGGTAAATCTGCGACTAAGTTCCTTATAAAAAAAATACACAATTTTGTAATTAATCACTTTCGGTACAATAACGAACCATACTCGCGATGAAGACGTCTTACATCGAAATAAAAATTTCTTTCTTCTTAAATATCTTCCTTCTTCGAATAATTCTAATGGATTACAAACAATGCATTGTCATTTTTCAATTCACTTAATCTTTCCGCTATTTCAAATTTGCAAGTACTCGATTCTGTCATAAATGCGTGAAATCCGCAGTCCAGTAATCGTCTTCGATCTTATTCGAATCATTTTATCGGTATTGCATGAAATCACCTCCCTCCAAAGAGGGGAAGAAAAATTGGCGATTGTCACTTCGGCGTGATCTCTTGTTAGAAACGAACGGTGCGCGCATCTATGCACCGCGCTCGTTAGAGACCGCGTATCCGTTGCCGCTAGGCGCATAAATTTTCATAAAAATGCGGAGATCCGCTTTCTTTCCTGTTACCCGCCGCGGAACGCGATACCGAGCTGTGTGTTACGCTCTCATGTTAATTCCGGCAATAAAGTCGTGCGTTAAAAACCGCTGTTCGCTCGGGCGCATTCCCGAATCGCCCGGAGCTTATGGTCCACGAGCGATCATTCTGGAAGCTTCGCGACCGAAACTCGCGCGCCTTATTCGACGGACACCCTGGGCACAGCGGTTGGTGTCGTCTACAAAGTTTCAGAGCCGACGGAAAAATCGTGGAAGACACGAAAGTGTTGCGGAGAGCAGAAAAACGAGAGAAACTTGCGGCAAACGCGAAGGAAAAGTCGTGACGAATGTCGCGAGAAAGTTGCAGCAAAAGATTGGAAAAAGTTGCAGAAAATTGCAAGAAAGCTCGAGCAATTTTCAATAAACGAGAATAAATTGGAGCAAGTACGGGAAACTTGCAACAAACGCGAAAAACTCGCAGCAAATGTGCTCGCGAAAAACACGAGAAGATTGCAACAAATAGGACGAAGTTGCAGAGAAAAAGAGAACGAAAAACTTGCAGCAAGAGCACGAATACATATCGAATAAAATATCAGCGAACAAGAGAAGAAAGACGCGAAGCTCGGGAAAACCTGTGAGAATCGTGAAAACAATTTTCGGTTCCGTGAATGAATTTTACGGTTTGCGAAGGAACGACGACGTCTGCGGAAAAGTTTCGGTTTTACTATGGGAAAGTTGTGGGTCTGCAAACAGATTTTAGCACTTACGCGAAAACAGGATCACGTTCGAGGGAAGCACGTCTGGTAGTTTGTATCGAAAGTTTGTCAGCGAGGGAAACAGTAGAGGGATGGGCGTTAAATAAGAGTGCCTGGGGGCTTATGGACGTAACGAAGCCCCGAGTGAAGGCGTGGATAAAGTTTGAATTACTCAATCTACTTGTATAAACCGTAAATAGAAATTAAACGCCATGTTTGTAGTATGACGCACTCCTGCTTTTTCATAAAAATAATATTTATAGCATTCAAGCTGACATAGTATAAATCGTAAATAGAAATTAAACGCCATGTTTGTAGTATGACGCACTCCTGCTTTTTCATAAAAATAATATTTATAGCATTCAAGCTGACATAGTATAAATCGTAAATAGAAATTAAACGCCATGTTTGTAGTATGACGCACTCCTGCTTTTTCATAAAAATAATATTTATAGCATTCATGCTGATATAGTAGTTCCGGAATTGTTTCGGTAATGGGAACGAAACTTGCCCTATTTCGATTTAGTTTCGCCCCCTCGCACGAACCGCATACATACATACATCATCGTCGCTCATTTTTTCCCCTCGTGTCGAACATAGTCAAATGCTACGCGATGTTGCTCGAGAAACCTTGGACCCATCTGTTCCATCCAGTTTTCCTTTTTTTTCACGCCATTACTCCCATACCGGCGCCGTAAGAATTTGAAACGTTTCAACTTCTGGGTACACCCGAGTACAGTAAATTCTCCCTAATTGACGCTCGGAGTGTACACAAAAATAACCACTTTTGGGAAGAGGGGACACGATTATTTTTATAGTTACCGATTGTCGATGTAAAAATCTTGAGAAATTCCTTTCAGAAAATCAAATGTACTTATTGAATATAATTAGATGAAAATGGATATTATTTACAATTTAATTTTATTTCGATGCAAACGATCGTAATGATTCGGTGAAATCGTACCAATTGCATAAATTTTTATGACAAGTTAAACAAATATATTTGGCAGTTGCTGCGCTTAAATAATAACGCGTAAAGACAGTAAACAAAAATATAAAATAAAAGAAACAATATTATTTAACGATTTCTATGACTATTCCCGTATGGGAATTTCATATGCGCGAAAGTACAAAAAAAGAATATTGCAAGTTTTCATTTCGTAGGAAAATCACGAAAACAATTTTACCGAATACAATAATGTCTCTCTAATTGACGCTCAGATTGTCCACAAAAATGGACAATTTAGGAAGAGAAGATACGATTATTCGAGCCTTGCAGCTCGTTTTTTATAACTGTTGAAAATCGGTAACTATAAAACCGAGTTGCAAGGCTCCTCTTCCCAAATTCTCCATTTTTGTGGACAATCCGAGCGTCAATTAGGGAGACATTACTATAATTGCCGACATCTATCGGTGCTGGTCATAAGTACGCTATGTTGCCGTATAAAGCCAGCATACTTACAATCATCAATTTTGCTTGGCTCTTTAAACTATGGAACATTTAAAATAAAATTCTCAATCGAGAAATCTGAGTTTCGAGAATTTTGAATCACAAAAATAAGACAAAGTTTCGAGGAGTTTCGAGGGTGGAAAAAAGCTAAACTATGGAACATTTAAAATTAGATTGCCAATCGGGAAGTCAGAGTTTCGAGAATTTTTCGATCACAAAAATAAGAAGACAAAGCTTCGAGGAGTTTCGAGGGTGGAAAAAAACTAAACTATGGAACATATAAAATTAGATTGCCAATCGGGAAGTCAGAGTTTCGAGAATTTTTAATCACAAAAATAAGAAGACAAAGTTTCGAGGAGTTTCGAGGGTGGAAAAAAACTAAACTATGGAACATATAAAATTAGATTGCCAATCGGGAAGTCAGAGTTTCGAGAATTTTTAATCACAAAAATAAGAAGACAAAGTTTCGAGGAGTTTCGAGGGTGGAAAAAAACTAAACTATGGAACATATAAAATTAGATTGCCAATCGGGAAGTCAGAGTTTCGAGAATTTTTAATCACAAAAATAAGAAGACAAAGTTTCGAGGAGTTTCGAGGGTGGAAAAAAACTAAACTATGGAACATATAAAATTAGATTGCCAATCGGGAAGTCAGAGTTTCGAGAATTTTTAATCACAAAAATAAGAAGACAAAGTTTCGAGGAGTTTCGAGGGTGGAAAAAAACTAAACTATGAAACATTAAAAATTAGATTGCCAATCGGGAAGTCAGAGTTTCGAGAATTTTTCGATCACAAAAATAAGAAGACAAAGTTTCGAGGAGTTTCGTGGGTACTCTAATATATTTCCGATACAGAATTGGATTACTTTCGCGGAAATTCGTTCCGACAGATCCCGGCGTAAAAATAGCACGAAACCGCCGGGGCAGTTAGAATGCAACAACGAGAGCCCGACAGTAGTGATGCATATCCCTGATCGTATCGCTAGGATATCGGTCGAAAGAGGAGGCGCTGCTTTCACGACTTACAGGTCAGGAGACTGGCGTCGCGTCCCATGAAGCGTTCGCGAAATTCGCCAATTAGAGCTCGCGGCTCGTAGCGAACGCGATGTGTAACAGGAAGTAAAATCGAGACTTCGCCGAGAAAGGTGGCCGCGAATTTTCCTCGGTCCCGTAACTCTAGGTGCGCGCGGACCGCGGACCGCAGATCCGACGTCGGCGACGACGACGATGGACGCCGTGCTTAATTGCATTTTGCGCTGTTGCAGCAAAGTGCTGCGAGAGATACCCGGCTCTGTCGGAGCCAGGAATGAAAGCAGAGCGAATGCGGTGAGCCGCAACCCTTGTAACCTAACACTGTGCGGCCGGGGAACAGCCTGAAGAAAAACAACGAAAAAAACAACCCAACCGCCGCGCCGCTCGAAAAACCGATCTTCGAGCACCCGGCTGAAAAGTGTTCGATGTCCTCAAAGTCTACTGGCTGCGTCATGCAACCGGGTCTGGTCTGGTGGTTCTCAGAAATCCAATGAGAGAACAACGAGGATTTTGTACGGTATACCGAACCAACCGATGCGGTTTACATTTACCATGTCGGCTGGCATATCGTTATTAAAGGTCACATGGAATATAAGAATAATTCACGTCTCTCTCTCTCTCTCTCTCTCTCTCTCTCTCTCTCTCTCTCTCGTACCGTGGAACATCGGTAATCTGACCTAATCGAGGAAATACGGGTTTTCGGATAATAGATCAGTCAACTGGTTCAAACGCTAATTTAAATAATCGACGTTCTCCTATGTCGGAATGGAGAAGACATGATTTATTATAGAAATACTATTTCGGCACAAACGAAATTATTTCTCAAGTATCAATAATATAAATTCTTACAATATCTGTACATATTTTTGAGTCCACTTATCTTAGATCAGAGATCATGTTCCTATTTGAAAGAACTTGCAGATATTAGAAAACTGAAACACAGTATAATTTTTTTCAATTGAAACACGATTTTCTATGTTTTAAAAAATGATATGTATTTTATTTGTCATATTCTTAAATTGCAACGAGAGACTGATTCGATGGTGATAGGTCTCAGTTTAATCATGTGATACTACAGTAATGTGATTTATTTCTTAAATTGCTATCGATTTTGTTTAATGCGATTTTTTTCATCTCACTGCTATGATTAATAGTTATATGGTAATTCATGTATTTTATAAGTACTGCATACCTTTACCGGGTCCTTTACACAGTAGAGTTTCTGAAAAATAATTTTCAACATTCTACTCTAGTTTAAAATTTGCATTTCTAGATACAGTTAATTGTATTCTGACAAAAATATAATTTAATTGTAGATCAATTTTTTATCCCCTTCTTAAATATTTTTTGGAGTATAGCTATCATATAAGTGGGTTCATTAAACATTTTTTATTACAAACTAGATGCGGGGGTTGATCAAAATATATTTTATTTAGTAATTGCTACAGTACGCGTCAATGCGTTAATAATATTTTAACCTCATTTAATGAATTAATTTTTCGACTCCACTTGATAGAGAATTCAAAAATTTAGCGATGAATTACTTGCAACTCAGAAAATCATATCGAAATTGGTATGCTACAACTGTTTTATTGGTTCCACGTAATTTGAGTGCACTAGTTTGGTGAAAGCGAACAATAAATGAGTCGTAATACGATAACAGCGTGAAAAATAAAAATTGCATTATTTCGCGGTAAATGGTACTAAAACAACGTAAATTTCTATACAATTATTGTAGAGGCGTTATTTACTATTATACTATTCAGTCGCGCTTTTGACAAAATTCCATTGTTCATAATTATTGAACAAAATAATTCAACCACTGCAACAAATATTCTCGTTACAATTAATATTAAATTGTAATTGGTATGTTTTTAGTATGAAGTCATATTTATCGTATAAACGAGCAGTAATAAATCGGAAGTGTACCCAATGAATTCTCATAAATATTTCTATATTCCATCTGCGTTCGTAATATCCGATGCGTATACCAACTGACGCATAAATTATTGCACGTCTGTTCTCTCCATACTACCGTAGCTTACATGATCCAAATTTTCTGACACTGGCCCACTGGGCATGAAAGACAAAATAAAAGCAACGAAGGGAACGAAAAATTTCACTTTTAGCATGGTCAAACGATGAAATTAAAATTGTGCATTACATATTGTCGAGACACCCCTATATAATTCAAAGGTTTCACAACACTTTCGAGATCCGGTTTGAAAAACTTTCTCCGTATCCCAGTGTCGTTTACGGATAATCATTTGCGAGAAAAAAACGCGAGAGTCGATAGAGGCGAACGGAAAAAATGCAGGTTCCAAGGGACAGTTTAAAAAAATATTCGCAAAAATATACATATATAAAAAAATATTCACAAAATATACATAGAACTCCCTTCCAAATCGTGCACCAAAAAAATTATGCTCCAAAATAATTCACTAAATAATTCAACATCTGCAACTTTTTTTCTGAAATCTCTGCAGACAAGATATGAAAAAACTTTCATCCCTTAAGTAGGGATTAAGGATGTACGGGTATCTAATATTTTGGGTTTGGGTTCGGATCGGGAATTTTACTCCGATATTGCCTGGACCCCGAAAGTTCGTAATCCCTAGACTGCGGATATTTATGCAAAATAAAAAATTTTCAAGACGATTATAAAGACCAGAAATTAGATAAAAATTAATGGTTTCTTTCAATAATTTTGACAAGTTGAAAATAGTGTACCTTATGTGTCTTCATGATCTTATATTTCAACTACTCATTTTTGCCATAAATACATAAAATCCGTAGTCTACTAATCACGCAAGTATGTACGACATGTTATTTTATAACTTTCTCATGACAATTATGTCTCCTACACTCAAAATAAAGGATAAAATTATATCATTCCACGCTACATATTCGAAAATATATTTCTCTTTCGTAATTTCGCAAGTATGTACGATACTGTTTTATAACTTTCTCATGACAATTATATTTCCTACACTCAAAATAAAGAATAAAATTATATTACTCCACGCTACATATTTAAAAATACATTTCTCTCTCGTAGATTTTTATACCTGATTACGCTAAAATCGTTCCGAAGCTGGAAATTAAAATTCGATTGGAAAATGATAGCTCGGATACCAGCACACCCCTACTTTACAGCTCCGAAATAACACAACACCGGTCACAGTGCCAGATCCTTTCGATCGGAATCTTTTCAGGAACAGAGAGAGAGAGAGAGAGAGTGATTCGACAATTTTTCCCAAGCCCGAACTACCAGCGTTAAGCCTAAAAAAGAATGGTTCTCATACGTCTCCGTAATTACACCCTAAGCAAGCTTTAATGATATTTTTTATCTCGGAAAACCGGCAGCATCTATGACGAAGGATTGACAGGTGGGCCAGCGACGTGTTAATTAAATCGTCACTGTACCCGGGCAACGCCGTTCCATCTCGTTATTTCGAATGCACGTGAATAAGATAGAATCGTGAAAAGAGATCCGGCCGGTGCGGCGCGGCACGGCTCGGCACGGCGCGATGGTGGCAGGCTCGGCCGCGCCGGCCGGCGAGATTCACGAGCGCATAGAGAGCCCGACATACATATATACATATTCCATCAGCGATTACACTAGCACGGCGTGAACACTCGGGGGGTAGATATCCTTCACGTAATCGAAAGGAACAACAACAGAACGTAACGTAACGTAACGTAACGTAACGAAACGAAACGTAACGAAACGTAACGAAACGTGACGGAAACCAAACGAAACGAAACGAAACGAAACTAAACAGAATCGAGAACAGGTGAAAACTCACTATATCATATACCGGCACCGGGAAACGTGGTCCAGGCAGGTAGCCGTCACAGAAAGAACACCACTCGACGAAGAGCCGGCTCTCGGTCGGTCAGCTGGGTAAAAATTGTTCGCGACCGGTGCTGCGGCTTGTTCGCTTGCGTGCGCAGATTCGGGCCGGTTCCCCTCGCGTTCGCAAAACGATCGTACGAGGGCCCCGTTTATCGGAGCACACGGCTAGACAAGAGGAGAATTCTTGTAGATTTGAAACAGCGGGCGTGGCGTTTCGCGACCGACTGGCAGACTGCTGGCCACCGGATGTCGCCACCAGACCGTTGCCGATGACTCACGCCACCCTCGTCGGCTCTCGGCTTGATTGGTCCTTTCGCAACCCCCACCCCGAGCCCACGGTCATCGTTCGAGGACCCCCGTCTCGTTCCCTCCTCGCCCTCCTCCAGCGCTCCCCACCACCATCGCGATCTCGTCGTGCCCGCTCGCCTGGCCTCTACCGTCTGCCCGGCGTTCGTGGAGATAGCGATCTGGTACGTAGCGTGCCAGGATCCGTGAAATCGTTGGATCTTCGAACGTTCAGCACACCAAATATCCAACTTACGCGCGTACGACGCGTGTTTGCTGGACGGCTTTGACGGATGCTGAATTTCAATGTTCCCAGCCACCGGCTTTCTATCTGTTTCTGTTGTATTCGTGGACGCCTGTAGGCGTCAGCATATTTTACCCTTTCGGTGCCGAGCGACGATATTATATTGTTCTCGAGAAAGCTTGATAAAACTATACTCGAGAACATGCTGTTTTCTTAATAGTTTTTGATAAATAAGAGTTTTATTTCTTATTTTTTCTTGCTTCTTGAGTTCTTTTATGATCAGGTTTTACAAGATTCTTGTAATTTCTCTCCGGCGTCTTACCATAGTACATTAAATAAGTTCAGTACATTTTCGTTTGGGTACTCGCGACTCTTCTGGTCGGCACCAAATGGGTTAACCTAACTTTTGACGCCTTCCGACGAATCTTATTAGAGTTAATTAAAACAAATGCATGGTCTAATATTCAATATATATTCAATATATATTCAATATATAATCAATATAATATAATATAATTTAATTGTATAATATATAATCTTCTATATAAATGTTAAAAATGCTCGCTGATTGATAATCTCCTTGATTATTAGAGTAGGTTGCGAGTAAACTTTGTCGTTAATAATTTGTTAGAAAAAATAGGAATTCTATTAATTCTGTCGCACTATAGGGATTCTATTAATTCTTTCTTAAGTAATACTGGCTTAAGAGTATATACTTATTGAGTAATACTGGCTCAAATGTTAAAAGGATGAAAGCTTAGATAGAAACATTTGAAAATTGATATGCATTATCTTATCAGCAACGATAGCACTGTAATAAGATAGATCAGTTCCCTTGCGTTTGTTATAAAAGCGACGAGCTTAACTTGCAATGATATTTTCCGATAGCTTTTATCTGTTCAAGATGTTGAACAAGAACGAACCATCTGTAACTAATGTAAGCGTAACTATTTCAATTAAAATTTCATTACGTTAGAACTCGCTGTATATTTTGAACACTCTATTATTTCGTAGGATGAAAAATCAATCACTATTCGCGGGTCTTCCTCTACGAATTTCTCGAAGCACGCCTATCGGTAAATGGTATTTTTACGATTTCTTTTCCCGTCTAATTCTTGCCACACAAATCCAAAGTAAACCTCATAATACGTGAGAACAGAGATGAGTTTGAGCATAGCAAACATCTGTACACTAAATCCCAGAATTCCCTGCGAGCACGGACGCGTGTGGGACGAGAGGAGGCACATAATCGTTAAGAATGGAAATAAGTCAAATAAGCCGTTCGATCGCAGCTCGTTGAAGAACTTTCCCTCGTTGCATGATGCGGTATTATGCTCGAAAAGCTGGCCAAAAGCTGATCTCAAAGTTCTGTCCGCGTTGCAAAATTTTCGTTTCTTAAAACAGCCGAATGTCCAAGGAGCAGCGTTGCAATTTTCAATAAATAATAATAAATTGTACTTTTCATAAATTCTACTTTTAATGCAGTGTGTTTCTAGATGAAAACAAAGAATTTTCGTGCCACGCGTTTCTCTCTTAATCATTGTTAGAGACAATGAAAGAAGAACAAAAGACATAAAAGAAGCGCATCATTTTTTTATTTCTATTTCGCATAAATAATGGATGATTATTGCGCATAAAGATCCGCAGTCTAATCCTCTTACTGTCTCATTATCTATATTTTCCTGATCACCGACGTTGCAAAATGACCAATTATCCAATAGAGCATCGATTATGGTTCTTACATTTCATAACGCCATTCAAATCGGTTAAAGCTATCACTGTTCTTTGAAACTCAACGAAATAATTATTGACTCATAGTAATTTTTACATTTTCAGTGACGCTTAAACAAAAACGTAACGAAATATGGTATTTTTATATTTCTATATTAGAAATAATAGAAAAATGGAAATACA